GTCAATGCCACCATGCTCGTCATCTCGTAGATCACTAACTAACCAAGACGAATCTTTGCCATATCTCAGCACAATGGCATCATATAACCGCATTGCATTCTGGATCTTTGGGTACAATGTTTGCCGTCTCCACTACTTATATATTGGATTTCTCATTAATGACATTAATGACATTGCTCTTTTGTTGTTTTTTTTGTTTTTTTTATATCACTAACTAACCAAGACGAATCTTTGCCATATCTCAGCACAATGGCATCATATAACCGCATTGCATTCTGGATCTTTGGGTACAATGTTTGCCGTCTCCACTACTTATATATTGGATTTCTCATTAATGACATTGCTCTTTTGTTTTTAAGAGCTAACAGTGAAGTCTTGGTAGAAAGACACACCATAAATTTGGTAAAACAACCAACACAGCTATGTTGGGAAACTTTCCACTATAGCATTAGGCTTCTTTATAACACACAAAATACAAACTGCCTGTAGGCATTCTAAGAGAAAGTGATGTCTACTCAGTCTCAATTTCCACCCGGCGTAATAATAGGTTGAAAGCAGTCCATTTCCACCATGCTGAATACGTGCTATTCGGACTAAACTCAGGCTAATCAGGGGCTAGTTACTCAGGTTCAGAAGAAAGACCAAGACATCAAGGCAAAGTCAGTCTAATGAGCCATTAAGCCATTGGTTTCACAGGTCAGGGTTTTGTTTGGGGTCATGCATCATGTCACATGACTGAGGTTAGCGGGAGACAGTCAGAGTGAAGCGAAGGAGCAAAAGAGTGCAGGCCTGAGACACCATGCGAGGTGAAGCAGGAGGAAGCTGATTTGCTGTTTGTTTATGTGAGCCGACTGTTTGGTCAACGGTAAAGGCTGAACAAATATTTGCTCAGTAGCGCACAGGGTTAGTGAACTACTGTGTTTTATGGCATACTTATTTTAAATCAACAATTTTTACTTCCAGTTCTTCTCCATTGTTTTGGAAGTTTTGCTGTAATTGACAGGCTGATGGGAAAATGAACAAAAGCATTAACAGCTTTCGAAATGATGAACTGCGAACAGCTCATCTGGGATTTTTCACAATTCCCAGGACTCTAGGTGCCCGTGTCAGCTGAGAAAAGCAGAGCCATCTCCCATCTCCTCTACCTGGTTAGCATCTCCATTTCGGGTCATGCAAAGAGTCCTGATGGCTAGTTTCATTAAACAGCCGTTGATGGATGACGCGACGGCTGTGGCATGCTACAGCTCTGAGACCCGCTCTGAAAGAATCGGCCTGTGCTCCAGACGCCGGTCCCCTTTTAAGGTGACTTAGGAAGTGAGAGATGAAAGCAGGCATTCATTATGTTAAACACACACACTTTCCTCAGAGGGAAACACTCTTATAAATGTCAGAGCAGCATGTGTGTTTACAGAGAGCACTGGCAGTGACAGTGGGAAAATACTGCACATGTAGGAGTCACCTTAAGTCACTTGTGAGGGGAATATTTTTAAAAGTTCAGGATGTGTGTTTAGGGTTTATCGTAGATCTCCCAGGAAGCCTGTCTGAGGGTTTAGACAATTTCTTATTGAACTAATGTTTTTTAGATTATTTAATTGTGGAGATCTGTTGAGTCAAACAAAGACATAGGAAATGATCCCACATGTCATGGTTAGGTTTAGTACCTTTTCGTATGACTTCTGTCATATGAAACTGAACAAAAAAACACAATATCCGAAGAAGTTCCTACAGGTTTACATTCACAGAGAAATCCAGATTCTATGAATATACAAATAGGAAACATCCCCAGCCCACCACACATTCACGCCTCCCCCTCTTCTAGTAAAACAGTGTTGCCTGGCCTGTATTCACAATAACATTTACCTGCCATTTGATCAATGCCATCTCAGATTTTCTGGTGACATTATCAGCTGTTTCTTAAAAGAATAAGTTAAAACGGATGCAGTGATAAGAGTTGTAATTTGCCTGGAATTCATTTTAAAAAATAAAGTATTATGTTTGATAAATTTACTAGTCAATTATTCTAGCATCTTCTCATAATAATAATTTAACACTTGCACTGATACTTAAATGTCATCCTGTTGGATATTATATTAATGTGATTCACACCTAATTCATATTTAACCCCTTCATACATATAGACTCTCTCCATCATGGGCTGAAACTCACTGTCCATCGGGTTGATGTAGTCTGGGAGGTGAACAGCAGCAGCAGCGGCAGCAGCAGCAGCAGTAGTGGATCCAGCTGCAATCAGATCTCCATATGGACTCCTGTGACTCGCCATCAGGTGGTAGTAATCAGCTGAGTTGGCTCCGGGAGGGGGAGGAGGAAGACCGAAAAGCCCACGCTCCTTCAGGTGCTCATGGGCGACTGTAGAAGGTATGAGAGAGATGGATGAGAGGAGAGAATAGAAGGAGTTTTACATAATAACACAAAAACATGCAATATAGTAACAAATTATTTTTGTAAGCTTTTTTGTAAGACACATGTCTACGAAGTAATAAGTAAAGGCATCTGGATTTGTAATAAATCCTTGATGTTATAAATTATATATAATTGTATGAAATAATTTTAAAGATTATTTAAAGGCCTTAAAGGGGCAGTTTGTATTTTTTAGGTATTTTTGTAGATGGACATCATAATAATAATAATAATAATAATAATAATAATAATAACTGTCAGGCAATGGATTTCACAATTTTTTTGTATCTGCCTCCTGTTGACATTTTTCCAGCCCAGAAATAAGCTCCGTCCCCCATGTTCAATCCTTTTCTTTTCCTTACAAGGCGACTCACTAGGCAATTCATTGTTTCAACAGAGGAGGTGGGGAGAACGGGAAGATTTTTTTTTCCATTGCAGTTATTTTTCTTCACAGTTTTTCAATCTTTAATTGGTTCTAGATCAAGTTACACTCTCTGTTTTCTTACTACTTTGCACTTGTTTCTGGTCAGTTGGTGTCTTGTAGTATCATGCCACTTGAAGTCCTGTCTGCTCCTTTAACAGCTCTATGCTTGGAGTGTATTCTGTCTCACTAGTCTCATTAGATAAAAGCATCTGCCAAATGAATAAATAAAAAGGTAAACATAAAGGCCAAGTTTACACGCAGCCGTCCAGTGGAAGCAGTGGAGAAAGCAGAGACTCACAGCTTCAGAGCTACAACAGCAATGCACTGTTAACATCTGCACTCAGTAAAGCTCTGTTAAAAGTGTCAGGGGCAATAAGAGTGTGAGGGCCAAATCTGCTTTACACACTCACTTGGCCATACAGACCATGAGCACAGCTTGCCATATGGTTCACATTTGCATACAGTTAAAATGTATTGGCATTATAGAGCTCCTGCTGTGCCCTTAGAGACATGCATGTGTGTGTAAATATGTGTGCAGATGTGTGTATATGTGTGTGAGCCTCACTGAAAAAATTACCACTGATTTCTCACAATTAGGTCTAAGTGTGTTTGAACTGCTGTGTCTCACACTCCTCCATCTGTGTGTAGTATTGTGGCAAAAATTGGGGAACCCCATTGCAGAATTTCACTGCGCTTTGAACCACACTTGAACACTTGTGGACATTAGTATAGCATAGGATTAATAGGATGTTGAAAATTGAGCTGATTAAGGTTCTACTTGCATGCTCAGTACAATTTAAATAAATAAATATTGGCCAAAAAGGATTCAGAATATAACACCTAGCCTGCTATATCTATATTCCTTTGGAATTCTAAATCTGTGCTTAAAATGAAAGCCTAAAATAATCACTTCCTGAATATCTTAGCTTGCCTTCTATACTTTGAACAGGGTCAGCTGTATCGGCACATAAAACTCAACAATCAAATCTCACATTCAAGGCCATATCCCCCCTATCTGCAAGTTAAAATACCCTCCACTATCTCTCTCTACTGCTTTCCAGCTTTATTGCTGTCAGAATCTCCTGTGTGCTGCTTATTTAAGTTTTAAAGCACAGACCCATTACTGTCGACAGACTGTAAAAGGTGATTTATTTGCTATTTGGCCTGTTCACCTGTTGTTGTAATTCAGCTCTGAAGAGAAAAGTGTCAGTGAGAAAGGAAGCTGCCTGCATGCATTTTTCTTGTTTTCAGCACCTTCCAACGTGCATTCCAAACAGGAAATAGTAGGGCAGCAAAGCTCAAAGTTCTACTTGTGGTATGTTTGACAAATTCATAGTATATTGCAGTTACATAATGTACACACCCAGAATGAACAAAAAACTGCTTTGATGGTAAATAGATTTACCAAGACAATAGAATTTAATGTCAACTGGCTACACAACAACAGAAACAAACTGAATTGAACTGCAAATGCAAACAGAACTGAACTAAAACCAGCTACACTACAACAGAACTGAACTGAATTAAACTGAAACTGGATACACTAGAGCAGAACAGAACTGAACTGAAACTGGCTACACAGAACTGAACTGAATTAAACAGAATCGTGTTTAACTACATAGAAATGAAAAACAAAACAAAACTGACTCAACTAACCTAACACAACAAAAATGAACCAAACTAAAATCGACTACACCAGCATACCCCTAAAAAAATAAAGTTAATTTAAATGAAGTGAGTCATTCTCATGCTACAGAACTGAATCAAACTAAGTTACAGTCATTCCATTCAAAGTACAAGAATGTGTGTGTGTGTGTGTATGCGTGTGTGTGTGCATGCTCACCATCTGCAGGGCTGAGCCCACGGGCCGCTGAGATCATGGAAAGTGTTGGGCTGCCGTGGACCGAGCGCAGGTAGTGCTCCACATGGGGTGAGACGTAGGGATGAGGGGGACTGAAGGGCGACTCAGCCGGGCCGCCTGGTGAGAGCCGGATCAGGGATATATCAGAGATAACCGGACTCCCTAACGCTGGAGCTCTGGGGAAAACAACAGAGGAGACACTGGTCAATAAGCACCACAATGTCTAGGAAGACTTCTTTAAATGTCATCTGCAAACAATTAGGGCCAAAAAAGAAGGATTTTGCTATTTTGTTATACTCCTCGTTAGTATAGTGGATAGTATCTCTGCCTACCATGTGGAAGACTGGGGTTTGATTCCTTGATGAGGAGGCTTACTCTCTGGTTGCACAACACCCACTACCTCAGCCTGATGTTTCACAGCAAATATTGCACAAATATCTGCACCTTATTCAAACTATAGTCGTACTGTTTCTGCCACCGATCATAGTATCCCTTATATCATATCATATTTTCATATTTTTCCTTTCCTACCTGTAGAGAAGTAAACTCTGGTTTATGTAAATTCTATTTTTATGTCACGGACAGTCAAAAAAAGCATTTCACTGCACATCATACTATGTATGTGACCAATAAAATTTGAATTTGAATTTGGGTTTTGTGTCAAAGGATGCTTCTAAAATCAGAACCACTCAATGCTCTGGTAAAATTCTCCAAGGAGAGGTTCAGGCACAGACTGAGGCATATGATGGATCATGTTTGGTTCTTCAGCTTGAGGCAATCTTCACTACATAAATCCAGCAGTAAGACCCAAGTCTCATCCCGAATGAAGGCTGACTCGTCTCATGTAGTCCGATTTGCCATGTCTCTGCTTCATTAAATAACATGAGGTCATGTCTGCTGGTCTTAGGTTGAGATCTGGGTTTAGATTGAGACTCAACATGCAAGACCACAGTGGGGGGTTTTGTGTGATACTCAGAGCAGATCTGGGGTCATATTATTTAGTGTCAGTCGTGGTCCAGTGGCTGGTCTGTTTAGGAGCTTATTATTTATTTGAAAGATCAAGTCTCAACCAACTTTTCAAATGTCTCCTTTTCGCACTGGGGAATACATGGGTACTCTTGGTTCATTTCAGCAATACTATGTTTGACTCTCCTTTATTTCACCATCTGATAGGCTAAAGTAGATGATAATTAGAATAGGAAGAAAGTGCATTTCTAGACATAGAAGACAATATGAATGGGCACCAGACAGAAACTCTTCAGTACGAAAAAGTTGCCTACAGATCTGGTTACTGATTATCCTTATCAGCCCCGATTATAAAATCCTCTGTCCAGAACCCTGATCCAATTACATTTGGTTTGACATAATGTCTTTTTATGGAGATGTCTAGATTAAAAAGGGTTTATCCAAAGAACATGTGATTCTGATATCTGGCCTTCAGCTCACAAAAGCAACAGAGCTTTCTCAGATGCCAAACTTCATTACACAAAGCATCTCAGTTCTCCTTGTCTCTCCGTCTCTCCCCCACTCTGAGAAGGAAATGATTGCACTGTAGTTAAGGCAGCCAGGGATTGCAGTCACTCGACTCCCCCTTTCACCTCTTTCTTTCTTTAGCCATGGCTGATTTTCAACCCCACCAGTCTTTTTGATGCTTCCCAGACCACACAAAGAAGCAGTAGGATATTCATTTGGATTGAAAGAAACTGTTCAGTTTAGGCCCACATGTCTCCTGGGCTGTTTTATTAGCTTTTCAGAGCACAGGGCCGAGATTTGCCCAGAATGCTTAGTCCCCACAGGGTCAGAACAGAGCAATTGGCCGGACTCATAGAAAAAGAGCCTTTTCTTGAGACCCCCTTCAGGTTGAAGGACAAAAACAGCCGGTTGTGGATCTTTTGCATGTATTCTCCTATGATTTGTCTGTCTTCTAGCCCAAGCAAAAATTAAGTTCATTGTAACTAAACCTAAAAGTCTTAAAGGTTATCCAGAAAGCCTCATGAAAGAAGCCCTATTTCATTACTAGAGAAGTTTGCAAGTAGTAACCCTAATGAAGTTAAAACCTCTAGATATCCAAAAATCATTTGTGGAACCCTTTGACAAATACCAAGCGAAACAAAAAAGGGTATGGGTTTTCTTGAAAAAGATTCTCCAGGTAATTAAGTTATGATATTTACCCAGTAAGAATTTCTTCTGAGGTCCACTCATACCAACAAAGCGTCTCTCATTGTCCTCACTTTCTGTACTGGTTGGAGATAGCCCTGAACCCATTCACTTTCCAACGAGTGGCCACAGACTTGCACAATTTTTTTTTCTGAAGCCTTCCGGGTTACGCATACACTTAGGCCCACTGAAAAGACTCCAGTGTTGCACGCCAGACAGCTAAACTCACACAGCCAGGCACAGCCTCCCAACCCCTCAACAACATTAATCTAACATCGTCCGTATGGATCTGATCTAACAGATCTGGCTTCAGGATGATCTTATCTGCCTTGAGCAAACTTACCGGGTTCTAGTCCAGCACCCAGCACTCCATCAAACTTCCCCGTCTTCAGATAGTTTCATCTCGTCTGACAGTCGTCCAGGAGACATGATAGAAAAAAAGCTTAATTCCAAAGCAAAACTGTCTCTCTCTCTCCCTCTCTCAGGAATCTCAGGGATGTCATAGAATGATGACATTCAGCTCCTCGCCTGGAATGCATCTCGATTTATGAACTGTCTGACACAGTAGACATGTTGTATCGATGAACTGATCCCGTCTGTTCATGTTTTCCACTAGCTTGACATCATTAAACTTTATTAAATTGGTCCCCAGCCAGTAAGTCATTAGTGGCTGGGATATGTTCCACCCTGTTTTAACAACACGATCACTTGAATTTTAATGTTGGAAAATGACAGAGAGAGTGTTGTGCAAGAAGAATTTCCTAAAGAGTGTTTTGAATTAGTCCATGTGATGTCAATGAGTAAACAAAATGTGCCCTGCCCTGGCAGAGCCTTTACAAATAAATATTTGTATGATTTCAGTTGGCGAAATGAAATTCTTGAAAAAGAGTTGTTAAGTTCTGCAGGATAGAATACTAGCAGCAGGGAACGAAATCAGATCTGTTACAAATTAGAGCACCAACTTAATTTCAATTCCCAAAATCAAGAATCACAGCAGTTTTCCTAGCATCAATGGTTCTTATTTTCCTCTACAAAGAGGAAAGATTTCTACAAAGAGGAAAGATTCAAGTCCCGGGGCATTAAAGCTGGGCGTTACAAAGCACCAGGAAAACACAGAACTTCAGAAAACACTAGTTCTAAGCTCTCGCTATAGAACTACACTATATGGCCAAAGGTTTGTGGACACCTGACCATCACACAAATATGTGGTTCTTCCCCAAACTGCCACAAAGTTGGAGGCACATAATTGTCTAGAATGTCTTTTTTATGGTGTGGCATTAAGATTTCACTTGAACTAATGGGCCCAAACCTGTTCCAACCTGACAATGTCCCTGTGCACAAAGCGAGCTCCATTTGCACAGAGCCCAGACCTCAACCCCGCTGAACACCTTTGGGATGAACTGGAATCTAGAATGGGATGTTTAACAAGCATATATGGGTATGATTGGTCAGGTGTCCCCATACAAAAATGGTCTATCAGTGGAAGTAGAACCTTTTTGGACAGCTAGGAATAATTAACTATCCTAAGAACCCATGAGATAGCTTTTTTCAGCTCCTGCTATAGAACTCTACACGTTTAAAAAAAAAATTGGTTAACTTTAGAACTTGCCTTTTTCAGATAAAGCAGCGTTCAGATCATTTGCAAATAAAATCTGTCCAGGAGAAAAGGCAATTCTCTGAAGGGGAAAGGACACATAAACACACCTTTGCTTCTTGTAGCAGTTACTTTCACTTTGTGCTGACTTTATCTAGGTGAACTTTAGGTAAGAAATTAGAAAACGAGAAAGTGGGGATGTGGTCTCTTTGGTTGGAAAATGTTAGAGCTATTTATTATGAATTAGCAATCACACCTTGCTGCTTTCTTACTGTTGCTTGGTGCTCATCAGGGGAAAAAATTTAGCCGTCCTGTCCACCAACGCATGCAATTTTTTGTGATAAATTTATATATTTTTTTTTCTCTCTGCCTGCTAGGGTTTTCTTGCTAGCAGTGTTGGCAACTCAGATACTGATACCTTTATTTGGACCATTTAGATTGTTATGGAATATTTTTTTGGTCTGTGACTTTGAGTTGTGTGATTTAATTGCCATGTTTTTGGAATGTCTGATATTTCCCACTGAGAGTAATAACAGCAGCACACTGCAATTACACCACAGACAAACAGCTTTGGTTTTGATAGTCAGCAATCAGTCTGTGTCATAACACTGCCCCATGTAATAACAATGCAGACACGATGGAAGGTTTTTTTATTCCTGAGTTTTTGGTGCCAGGCTATTGTTGAGGACGAGCTGCCGTGCCAGACTCCTGGGATGAGGACATTGTTTCAGGTGCCCGTGCTGGTGTAGCATTCACACCCGGCAGATGGACAGTGCACCTGTTTTGGCATTTGCCAGGACGTCAGGTGCCCATGTGAGCCCATTGTCTGGCCTCTCAGGCTAATGGAGGCCTGAGCCTCAGCCGTAATACCCATTCACAAACGCAACAGGGGTTAGGATCATCCATGGCTACATCATGTGGGCGCCTGGCACCACTGAGTGTCATCATCACACTGTGTTGGGGTTTAAATTTCTCAGTAGGCAGTAGTGGATGTCCGTATTAGATGCTTTGTATCTATATGTGCATATTGATATTTTCACATGCTTGCAGGTTAAACTTTATATTTGTGCGCATGTGTGTCTGTATTCATGGTGTGACAGGCGTTGCTGTAGCAAGGGGCCACCTCTCCAAATCACAGATAAATCACACGTTCTACCACACTCCAACAGTATACTCACAGCCCACACAGATTTTCTGAAACCTCAAGCCTTGACCACGCTACTTTTTTAAAAATTATAGATTAATAATTTAGGATTTGTAAATGCATATTCAATAAATGTTTTGGCATATTTTCATATTCATTTTGTTGACTTCTGTTGTTCCACTAAGTCAGAGTCACTCGATGTTGTCAAGGAACTATGAAATGTGACCATTTTAATGGCTGAACTTCTATGATAATGCAGTTTGTCAGGATTGTCAAAAAGACTAAAATAGCGCATACACTCTTAATTTAAATGTAGCTTGTTTGAATGTGACTTGTGAGTTTCTTGATTTCCCATTTGTAAATCAAGCAATCCCACATAGGGTCACAATCCCTAGTTTAGGAAACTCTGCATTAACATGGCATGGTTATTTTTTAATAAAGCATGGTCACAAGTTAATACTAATATTAACTAGG